TTACATAGACTACTACTTATTGTTGCATGCGTACACAATGTATCTTTCACTTTGCTTTCTTTTTGTTTTGATTTCCTTCGTTTTGTTTAACAGTTTGGCTATCTTTTACAAAAACACTGATTGCACTAGGCCAAAGGTGTGGGAATGCACGCGCCCTGACATTGACATTAACCGGTCGGAATTAAAACTGACCACTTGAATTGTTGGTGGCAGTTAATAAAAAAAGTAGCTGCAAAATGCATGATTGTAATTGGAAAGAGAGTTTAAAAACGTAGTAATCATTCACCGAACGAATAAAATTTATAACACAGTTAACCATGAAACTGTCAGATATAAAATTTGGTTTTAAAATATTAAATCAAAATTTTATCAGCAATTTAGTTTTTATTCAAAAAGTTTTATGCTGTTTTTGTTGTTTAGCACAAGCGTATTCTCTAACTACGTTTACTTTTGTACTCTGTTAAATAACGTCATTTCTATTTTCTATCTAGTTTCTATTGCGTTGCCCTCAAATGTATTTTGTATCTTTTGCAATCATCATCATAAACGCACAACTCTTTAATAAGCTCATGAAACTTGTCACCAACTCTCCCGGGAGAGATGGCCAACACCGGCGGCAGCAAACACAGCAGCAGCAGCAGCCTTTTGATTACCAACAGTGGAAAAAATAAAACAAACACAGTGGTGACACTGAAAAAGTTTTCCACTGTGTCACAGTGCCAAGCCGGGGCTCCCATTACCATTTGTAAAAGGTACACTGGATATCCATAGCGTGCCGTGCACTTGCCTGCCACTTAGCAGCCAGGCCAGACGGGCTTAATGGCAGTCAATTAGAACACCTTCCAGTGAGTGGCGAACTACTCCTTAATCATCAACACTGTATCAGCTTGTTTTGCTCTTCTTCTTCTTCTGGCAATCTTCTTCCTCTAAAGCTACATTAGAGAGAGGGGTGACATTTTAAATGAGCACAATCAAATGGAAATGCAAATTACCGTGTGCGGATTTGATTCACTTAATGTGTCTATTTTCTCTTTTTTCCCTCTTTCCAGCTGCTGCTGCAGTGGCACATTCTACTACTAATGCTGCTGCTACTTCTTACTACTTGGCTTAAAAGTTACTCAAATTAATTTGCAACCTTTATTCACTTGTTTAGTCGACTGGTCTTTTTGATTTTTCACTCTTTTTTGATAAATACGGTAGGAGAGACATAGGATGCCTAACACAGTAGTAAGTGGTCTTTCTTAGATTTCCGAGAAGGCACAATAGTTGAACAAAAAAGTAGTGACCGAGACACAATGGTAGCGACTTTGGTTCGACTGTTTTGTCCTTTTCTGCCATTTTCTAGCAGCCTCTTGTGCTCGAGAATGCAGCTAATGGCGCTAATCTCATTACGTGTAATGCAAATAAACAACAAGACAACAGAAGAGGAAGCGGTGCTGGCTGTGAAAGTGAAAGAGGGTCCTTTTGCAGCAGATTATTCAGGGGCAACACTATGGCGCGGTAATGGGTGCTAAAGACACGGTGAGCAGTGAGTCCAAAGTCCTCACTGGCCTTTTCAGTCGGCCAAATCGTCATCATTTGAACGGGCGCGACCGTCGCCGTTTCAGTGAATGTGTCCACTGAATGGCTACACATCACACTGTGTGCACTGTGACAGCACCTTACTTTGACAGTTCGCTGACGAGCACAGTAAGCGTCTGCTGCGTGAGTCAGTGCACTTTGACCATCTTCATCTGATCAAGGGTTTTGACGGAAAACCAAACATTGAAGGTAGATAGACCATTAATTGATAACCAAACATTGACACTAACTCATTGGATGATGGACTACAAATACACAAGTACTTTTTTGGGAATGAAACACAAATATTACTAACCGTTTTAATTTAATTAAAACATTTGTTTATAAAAAAGCAATGTTCCTTTTAAATGTCACGTTTACTTGCACACATTTTATTAAACAAATCAAAATGTTAATTGGTAATAAAAGTTAATGTAGCTTTAGCCATTTTTTGAATAATAAACAAAAATGTAAATAACATTGTCTAAGAGTAAAAACAAAAACAGAATGCCCAGCAGCTAATTAGAATGCCAAAATGCAACACGCAAATTGACTAGATAGGTTATGGCTCTCTTGGCAGCAATTATTTTTAGCACTGCCATTTGCTCGTGTGCTTTATTTTGACACTTACCAATTCTCAGCAAACCACAACTCTTTTTTGGTAAATTTACTTTTTTTTAAACCCACTTGTTGTATGAATATAAGTAAAGTTTCTTTGAAACCAATTAGATTAGTGAGTAATTTATTTAAATGTAAATGGGTGTTTTTTATTTGCTTGTTTTTGTCTACATTTTTGTTATTTTTTTGTAGAACAAAATAACAAGTAGCTTCTAGTTAGTTAAATAACAAAAAATAATGTCAAGTTTGCCGGCAAGTACTTGTAAACACCCAAATTGTCATGCTTTTGCCATAAACTTTTGTAAATGCAAATGCACTTACATCACTTGACAAATTGCTAAAAACACCAGTAAATTCTCGCTAACTTGAAAGTAATTTGCGCATTCAACAACAATGAGCCGGAAATGAGTCAAATGAACAACACGGATTGGGCTTTTGTTTGATTGAAAGCAGTACTTTTCAGACTAATTTTTTAGCAAACCTAATAAATCAAGTTATCTAAAATTTTTTCAGGTTATTTTTATCTAAAGACTAATTGCTACAAAAAATATAAGGTTTAACCAGCTAAAATTATTGGTTTTTGAATACTTTATTTGGTCAAGTAAAATTTAGTTTTTTACAATAACGTTTTGTAAAAATACATTTTTAACGAACAACTGCTGACAACATATTTTTTCTTTGATTTAATAAAATTCTGTTTTATTGATAAAAAGACCCTCGTGAAAAAAACTTGCATTTAGCCATTTTTGTTAGTTTTTTTGCTAGTTACCACCCGTTTGCTAAATCACAATGCATTCAATTGAATTTAGAATTTAGAAATAAATCAAAATAAAATGAAAAAATAAAACAAATTGCATTTAACACCAAATAAAATGGACACGTTTCAATGTTTTATCACTTCAAAGCTCAATTTTTAAAATTCAATAAAACAAAAAACAATTTTTTTTGTTATGGGTTGATTAGTTTAATTTTTTGTTGCAATTAATATAAACTAAAAATTGTATGTTGTTTTCAACATAAAAACATATATAAAAAGCTAAAGTTTTTAAAATAACGGCAAATTTCAAAACTTAAACCTGTTAAAATACTAGAATTAAAAATTGTATTAAGCAAAATGATTGATTTGATTTGTTACAATGAAAAAAATATACCAGTTTTTTAATAATTAATTAAGTTTAATTACAAATTTGTTCACATAGTGTATAGGTATGTGAACTCAGCGCACACCGTTATCTTAATTTCAAAACTTGACTTGCTCGTTTATTTTGATTGAGAGATTTACTATATTATTTGTCTTATAATTTTTAAGTGCAAAAACTGTGAAATTGCATTTGTAATCGCAAAGTCAACAATTGTTCTAATGGTTGTCAAGTAGAAACGGGTTCACTGTGCAGTGCACACTTTTCGCCTGTTATGCAAGTGTAAATTAACTCCTTTCATGCGGTAGATTTCATTTAATTGACAAATGTGTTCAATGTGTGTGATCCTGGAAACAAATGCCAGCACGGAGAAAGGCAAAATTGGCAAAACAAACTGATCGGGTTGACTAGTAGCAATAGTAGCATGTAAGTTGGCAGCAAAAGCCAGTTGATTTTGTCTCCTTGGATAGAAAGGCAATAAGTGCCATTTGCGATTACCGCACTGAGTCAACAGAAAAGTGCTGCTGCTGTTGCTGTCTGCTGAGTCGGAAGATTGCGATTTATGACGGTGGGAAGCGGTGAGACAACTGCCAGACAACTGTGCACCAAAACACCGCCAATTGCACTTAGCACGCACAGGAACGCTCACTCACTTACAGTGCCATCCATTTTCGGGAGGTCGCATCGGTTCCGGTGATCGGCGCGGCAATTGAGACTGCCATTGAGACGGCATTCAGCACAATGGTGCTAACACTGGTGCCAACTGGAAGCTGTGGTCACTTTCACTTATTGACAGAAAAGAGTGAAGTTACTTTTTCGTTCTTTAACCTTTCATGACGCATTAACAGGCAAATTTTTCAAAATCTTACATTTGTTTGTAACCAGTTAGTTGTACAAAATTTTGTTTTTTACTGTTTACTAAAAGAAGCAAAAGTTGATTTTAAAAACAGTATACTTTTTAAAAACAATGTTGCTTATGTCGTTTAAGTTAGTGTAGATTCCACAGCTTTGTCTTTTTATAAGCTCACTTTTTAATCCGCTGTGCTGGTTTTCTTAATTAAAAGTTTGCCTTCTCTACCAGACAAGTCAAGTGGGCAAACATAAAAGCAGTAGTTAACGCAGCGGATGCTAATTCGATGTTTTATTAAATGTAGGTGTGCTTTTTTATTAAAATTTAGATGCCAAAGCAAGAACATTTAGCTAAGTCTAAGAGTGAATTAAAGTGAAAATGACAAGTAAAGAACAAAAACGTAACAACTATACAACTGCCACTTTTTAGTGCAGTCTTCACTGAATCTTCAATAGGTGCATAGTGCTGTTGAATAAGTATAGTGAAGTGGCAAAGAAAACAGTGAAATTCAAGATGAAGGTTAAAGAAAAAGAAGAAGAAGAAAAAAGGAAATAAGAACAAAAATGCAATGTCCGCTGAAGGGTATCTGTGATGTCCTGAAAAAAGGAAACATCAGTTTTTTGCTGCCAAGCTGCTGCTGTCAAAAGAAACGAAAGTGTAAGTGCAGTAGGGCTAGTTAGGTACAAAAGAAGAAGAAGAAGAAAAAGTTGATGATGATGGTACCTCCGGTGTTGCAGATGTAAGTGTTATTGTAATTATTAGTGTCCTCTCTTGTGCGCTGAGATCCGACATTTGACTCGGCATTTAGCAGGCTGCTGATTCGCCGAGGTTGATTAAGCCTCAATCTCCGCCGACAACTTAATCTTGGCACAATCGCCGCAGATAATGTCAGGACCGTCGCGAATGAAGCCACGGCCCTCCAGACGAGTCTTGCAGTCGACGCACACAAAGCATTCAGTGTGCCAGTACAGCTCCTCAAAACTGATGAAACGCGTCGTTTGCTGGCCTGCCAGAGAAAAAAGGGCGGAAGGAAGAAATGAAAAGAGGAAAAAGTATTTGAGTATTTGATTATGCTCAGAAGTTAGTGTGAGAATAATGTCACTAAAGATATCACTAGAAGAATGACAACTTTAGCTCAAAATGACACGTGAAACCGGAATTGAAGTAGCTTCACACTTACTGGTGCCAATAATTGGTTTAGTGCAGACGGTGCACTTGTGTGAGAACTTTTCGCCAAAGCACTCACGACAGTAGGCCTTCTCATCGCGAACCAGGAAGGAGGTGCCAGCCAGTTCAATCTTGCACTCATTGCAGGTGAAACACGTCTTGTGCCACGGCTCATCTTTGAACATGACGCCGTTTTCAATTATCACCTACAAACGTTTGTGAGGAATAAAAAATGTTTAAAGTGTCAAGTGAGAATAGGGCTATTTGAATTATTTGTAATGTTTTTTTAGCTTTAGTGCCTTTCCAGCACATTGGAACGAACCTCGCAGCACTTGACGCATCGAGTGGCGAACTTAACTTCATAGCACTCGCTGCAGTAGATCTCCTCGCCCTTCGGCACGAAGCTCTTTGTGCCAATGGGGACCAGGCACTTGCTGCAGAGGAAGCAGGTCTCGTGCCACTGTTTGCCCTTGTACTCCAGCTTGCGCTGGCCCGGCTTGAAAACCTCGCTGCAGGCGTCGCAGCGAGTGCCGAAGAGATTGTCGTAGCAGTCGCCGCAGTAGATCTGCTCGTGCTTCGAACCGAAAGGCTGCTGGAGCAGGGACTTCTTGCACTCGCGACACACAAAGCAGCTCTCATGCCAGTGGCGCTCCTTGTACGACAGGTCCTGGTAGACAGTAGGAAAAGAAACAGCACAAGTGGTGGTGATGATGATGATAGACATAATAGATCAGTGTGAAATTGAAGTTTTCCTAAAAAAGTAGTTCTCTAAGGAAACTTACCTTACAGTTGATGCCAATCGGTTTCTGGCACTCATCGCAGACATTGGAGTGCTGCTGCTCAAAACAGGTTACACAGTGCGGCCGGTCCTCGTGGAGGACGTATTTAGTGCCCGCCAGTGGGGCGCTGCAGGCGGTGCAGACAAAGTGATCCATGTGCCAGTTCTGAGAGAGTTCTCTTAAGTATTCAGGTGCAAAGATAAGCTGATGGAAGGTTGTGGCAGGATGCAAGCAGGAAGGAAAAGGCAGGAAATGGAAAATGCCCCAAAGAGTGAAAGGTAATGTCAGTTGGAATGTTTTGGGAAAGTGAACCGAATAATAAAGCACAACAAATATGATCAGTGGACAGACTAGAGTGAACTGGTCGTCGCACTGCTCTCAACAGCTGTCACGGCAACCAAATGACTGCGCCAAAATAAAAAAAAGTTGGTGAAAAGTTGAAGATGATGTGCAAAAATGACGTCAACGAGTAAGGATTTTGTTAAAAAGTTACACCTATTTTGCTTTCAACAAACTAAACACACTTTCAATTCATCACTGAATTGAGAATGAATAAGTGTCAAACTACTGCACACTACTAGTTGAAAGTGACGGCAGCTTTTGAGAGAGAGAGGAGTCTGACACGAACATTTGATAATCGAGTGAGACCCACGCAGACATTATGGCAAACATTCATTACCAAAGAAAGAAAGGAGAATGCCAATAGCAACAGGCAGATTTGGGGTGAAGTTGCGTTGTCTGGTACAAGTAAAGAAAAAACTACAACAAACTTCACGACAAAGACGACGAAGAAGACGGCAACCAGCACGTGTGGGTGGCTGAAGTGAAGAATTGCCGGCGCATCTGTTNGCGTTGTCTGGTACAAGTTAAGAAAAAACTACAACAAACTTCACGACAAAGACGACGAATAAGACGGCAACCAGCACGTGTGGGTGGCTGAAGTGAAGAATTGCCGGCGCATCTGTCCGGGCAGACACTGTGTGGCCAATTGCTACCACGGCTGGTAACCACAACTGGTCGCACTTTAAGTGCCGTCTTCAAGAGGTACTCAAAGGGGCACTTCAGTACTCCTCTTCAATTCATGAACATGTACTTTACACACACACACACATATGTCACCGGTACTGACAGAAGAACTCAGCACGCAAATGAAAATGCAAAACGATATTGTTATACACAGAAAAGAAAGTGAACAAAAAGTTGATTGCAAGATCATACTACTTGTTTAGTGTCGTTCACTACATTCTGACTGGCTGGCTGGCTGATTGTGATTGTGACAAGCGTTGGTGAATATCATCAACGATTGGCCACTAAACACACTGAATACACACACACACACACACAGTGAGCGGCAGTCAGCTCAACAGTGTGCAGCTCAACAGCAGCAGCAACATCAGTGCACTGATGCAGGCAAAAGACTGCTGTTTTTTCACCGCTGTCAGATGTGAGAAGTGTGTCTCGATGACTATGACTGTGACTGTGAGTGTATGTTTGTGTGTGTGTGTGTTTGAGCAGAGAATGCAAACAAACCGATTGATGGGTGCGACTGCTGCCCACCAGGCATTTGCCTGCTTGCCACTTTCAGAAGGGCAAGTCTTCCCTTGACAGCAGACTACTGCCTTAAATCAGTCGCTGAAGACAGCCTTCTTTTTTATTCATTGACAAAACACACTTTAGTGTCACGACTTTCTTTTATGTAATGTGTACAAGAAGTACAATGTCAACGGGTGATTGGTAAAAACATGCACATGCAGCAAAAACACATGTTTTACAGTTCTTTGGTCTCACTTGCTTTTAATTAATGCAACATTGTCCGGCTGGGCAGATGTGCAAGTGAGCAAGTGAGCGAGCCATCACTGTATGGGTAATTAGCAGTTGGCCTCAAGGTTGCCTACTAAGCAGTGGCCAATATGTGATGATGATCACTACTTGAGGGAAGTATGTGCTGCCATTACAACACACAGAACAGAACACAGGTTCACTTCGCTTTCCGCATCATCATCATCATCAGCACCACTGTCTCTCTTCCGACAACATTAGTAGAGGGTGGTTATTGCAGTAGCTGTAATGAAAGTAGCAGTACTGCTTATTCCAGCAAATAAAGAGTACTTCTTTTCAGTGCCGCCTGCAACATTAAAATTGATGAATTTATTAGCCATAACACGTATTATATCACTAAAAAAGACAACAGTCGATCACATGTTTGCCTAGTAGTGGCACTAATACTCAAATGGCGGTAATTACCATCAATTGGCAAATTACACAGCACCAGTCATCTCTCTTGTGTTGCCTGAACCGCCAATCATTAGTGAAAAGTAACACTGACACGCGTCTATGCAAACACTGCCTAATTGAGACCGCTTACTAAACTATGAAATTTAGAGGCAAATTAAATTTATTTTATCTCAAACCTATTAACAGGCAATAACCAATTAAAAATTTTCAACTGCCGATTTTTAACAACTTGTTTGTTAGATGTTCATTAAGTATATGTGTTGGTAATTTCTACTGACAGTTAAATTTTTTATGATTCTATTACTACATTGTTTATCAAAATGACAGGTGTTAACAGTCTAAAATTATCAAAAACTGTGTTTACTTATTTACATAAATAATGGCATTGTTTTATAAAAAATTTTTGCAATACTTTAATCTACCTAAGTTTGGGTTTTATTAAAACAAAAACGTTTTTTGTCAAAAATGCATGAAAATGATAAAAAACAATGCCAACGACATTTAATCATGATGGATTATCAAAAACAGATTTAAGATTTTAGTACACTAATTTTGCTTTTCATTGCACGCCAATAACATGTTGATTTATTTTTACGTATTTTTTTCCTTATTTTATAAATAAAAATTTTAACGTTTTTTAACAATCATTTTTTAAAATTGCAAAAAAATAAAATGCTGACATAAATGTTATGCACGCTTTTTCAAATGCCATTTAACTAGAAAATTTAAGGGACGTTTGCTATAAAAACTAAATAAACAAAACAACAGATATAAGAAAATTTTCAATATTGTTTTGAAAAAATACTTAATATGTGAGAATCGTAGACAAAAACATTTTTAAAAAATAGTTTTATATGTTGAAAAATAGTGTTTAACCTAAATGATTGACAGTCAAAAGGGAGTTGCATTTTAAAAACTATTCTAGCACTTGATTTTTTGATTTATATGCACTCACACGTGACATGTTCATCAGCAAAATATTCAGACTCGTGTTTTCATAACCTTAAATATTGATATTTTGTGTAACCGAATTTTTTTAATTTTGTTTTTATTATTCTGAAAAATGAATCAAACAGATGAATTTATTAAATAGCACTCAATTTGAATTTGTTTGACAACTTTTCTTTTCAACAAGTAACGGTTAATCTTTAAAAATAATCGAACGACAAAATTTGCAGCTTTACAAACGGAAATATTAAGTAGCAAAAGTTTAAAACTAGTGTTAAAACATTGTGAAAAAAGCCTTTTAGCATTTTGTTTTATATAATTTGAAGCAAAAAGCAAGTGCAGCAACGCGACAACTTGCATGGCGATTTGCTATTCAATTTTGATGTAAATGAGGAAAACATGTAAATTTCATTTAGACGTGATCAACTACAGTGATGGAACTGCTGTGTGATACCGAGACAAACACACTGATGCACTGTTTCTAGTGCACTTTATCACACAACCGGCAACTGTATCGTTTATCATAATTTGCATTGCCAAATTAGTAAATAGACACTAAGGCAGTTTTGTTAAGTGAAAATGAAAAAGCTTTTCAGAATAGAAAGAGAAGCATTTTCAATTTAGATAGATATAAACTACAACAAACTTTGACTAGCACCTCAGAAAATTAATAAAAACGACTATTACAAACAAAATAAACGGAAAACAGCAAAAACCACTTTGAAAAAGCTATTATACTTAAGCAATTGATTTTGAATAGAAAATTACTGCACAACACAATAGAATTGAGATCAATTGAATAAAAATGACATTTAAAAAACAAAAGTTGACTTGCATGAACACCTAAATTATCTGTTTCAATACTTGACGGCTTACAAAGGTCAAATTATCAAATTGTAAGTGTTTGTGCTCTACCATTGCTTGAAAAACAAAAGGAAAGGAAGCAAAAGCATATTTTGGAATAGTAAAATTACCTCTTTTTGATTATTAAGAACTCCGGTACTGACTGGTTTTCCATTGACGTGTTGAATCAGAGGAGTTCCATTAGGCAAAACTCCATTTTGATTATGTTTGGTATTTCCTAATTGTGATGGCGGCTGAGGTGCTTGCCGTTTGGCTTTATCATTTTGCGTTGCTAAAATGACGGTATGTTTTTCTTGAAAGATAACCTGTTTCTTATCTTTTTTCTTGCCACCACCAGTCAATTTTTTCAACATTTTGGACTTTGTTTAATAAAATAGTTGCTAGATGAAAACCAGATAACACGCAGGGGAAGTTGTTGATATGAAATCAAGATGAAAAGGTCACTTAGACAGACAAAATCAATCACAGATTAATAACATGGCCAGCAAAAATGGTACAAAACGGTAAAATGATAGTTTTGTCGGCACTGAAAAAAGTGTGTGCGTGTGATAGAAAACAGAGATATGAATTGGTAAAGAATTTAGAACAGTAAAGCTCTGTTCGGTTCTTTCTTGTTTTTCTTCTACCGTAGCATCTACCGTGGCTTCTAAAAAAACAGTTGTGAAGAATAAAGTGTAAATTGTGAAATGTTCTCCTTTTTTGCTAAAGATAGCTTGGCAATGGGGCACAGTCAGTCAGTGTTCACAAGTGGCTGCTTCAATTTAAGGCCAGCACAGCAAGGGCGCCAGGCAAAACTTTTTTTTCAGTTTTCATCACACAGTCTCTTCCCTAATCTGAAGGAAAATTGACATTTTATCGTCAATGGCAGAGCTGTAGCAAGGGCTGCGGCGTGATTGCCGCCGGCAGGGAAAAACTTCAAGGCAGATACATCACCACATCACCACCACTACCACCTCCGCCAGCAACAGCACTGCCACAAATCTACAACTGTCTCAGAAAAGCTCAATTCTTGAAGCATGTGATACTGATCACTACTACTTTTTCACAACTTTTTTTCACTCTAAACTCTTATTGTCTAGGTTGTGAAAACTGTCAAGAATTTGCAAGCGTTAGCAGCTGCACACAACTGCTTTCTTAGTAAAAAAAAGTTAACTGAAAAAACAAGAAAAAAAATTTGAAGTAAAAAGAAATGAGATGACATGCATTACTTTTAACTGCTGACGGCATTGTGTGGGAAAACTGCACCGGCAATGGAATGACTGCAACAGCAGTAGAACTGCTACTGCCACGCCGACACACTGTCAGCAGACGGCAATTCTCATTCTGCGGCAGCATTCTAGTGAACGCCTGTTGTACGGTACAGAAGGGATTGAGGGCACATAACTGTTGCTGTTTCTCTTGGCAAGCGACTGACTGAAGACTGGAGACTCAACAAATCAGCGGCTGCTGCTGTTTTGGGTACCAGTCACAATGACTGCTTTAGTGCTTCAATGCTTTAGTTAGTGTCAGTGTGTCAGACGGATGCCAATGACGGCAACACTGCCCGACACTTCACTTTGCTGTCGCTTTTTTGTTTTTCAACACAAAGAAGCAAACAAAAATGTGTTTGTTCCAAGCGTTTAAATGATTACCGTTTAAAAAATTCAATAACATTCCGATGTGCAATGAAATGTTTGAAGTTAGAAACTGATTTTAAACTGCTATGTTGTTTAATAGCAATTGGCACTCTTAAACAAATATCATATTGACAAAAAGTTTAAGGTTTGATTGCAAAAAATAGTAAATGCAGTAGCTGTTTGCACAAATGCATTTTGCGTGAGCAAAGCCACGTCACCAGCGGCCTGGTGGCCGCTACTAAATTAAAAAAACACAATTAACTTAAACTATTTTTTTAAAATTAAACCATTAGAAAAACAGCAAAAAAACTTAAAAAGTTATTTTTGCATTGTGATTGACAATACTAAACGCAATTTTTGTTTGACCAGCAACAAATGTTGCAATCAAAGTAATATACCGAGTAAAAATTAAAAAGCTCATATGTTCATGCAAAGTGATTGAGAATGTAACAGCGGTCTACGCCTCTAACAACTTGGCAACTATTTTTTGCTTAACAAATTCTTTATTGTTTAAAAGCAAAATGTTTGCCCGCCCACGTTGTGTTTGTTGCTATTATGAGTTAGCATCAGCTTATTAAACCGAGGATGTTACATTTAACTTTGAATTTCATTACCATTTGGTGTGAGTTATGTTTTGTTGAGTCTAAGTATGAATAGATGATGAATTTAAATGCACTACTTTATCATTGAAAAAAACTTGTAGACATACTTGGTGCTAGTAATAAATTTTTGACTTAATTACACTAGTCTAATTTTATTGACTTAAACTTTAGAGCCTATAAATACAAATTTTTTTAATTGTTTAGAAGTTATATTTTTAGTTTACGGCTAAACCCATTGATATGTTGTTGTGGTAAACTTATTTAAAAACATTTTTATATTGTTTATTTTTATTTTTGTGACACTTTAGTAAAAAGTTTAGTTAGTTTGAAAAATGATGGTAAAAAAAGCTAAAAGCAATTTGCATTAGTTATAAAAAATATTGGTGACAATATTAATGCTACAATTGTTTGATTTTTTATCCACATTGTTAAAACTGTTATTTTGAACTGTTACATCTCTGTAACTTTAAGTTTAAAATTTTATCAAGTTAAGCTTTTCTTTTTCTTTTTTCATTACTCACTACCACCTCTCAAAATTTCCTTTGCTACCACTGTGCTTTGCTTACATCTTATAAAAACAGAACAATAAAAATTAAAACTTAATGTTTTTAAGTAGTTGCATTTGTAGACTAAATTATTAATAATTGTTTTTGTGTACACAAAAATTCAAACAAATTGGTTTGATTGTTTTAAAATCAATTGTTTTAAAATTTAAAACCATTTTAAAAAATTTAATTTTGTTTTAAAAAAAATAAAAAATATAATAAAATTTTTAAATCAAAAAAATAGTTTTTGTTTTGACCCTAGGCAAAACAATAGTCAAATTTGAAAATTAAAAATGTTTTAAAATTTCAAACAGCATCGCTTTCGGCGTTTGAATCAATCTTTTGGAAAATTGAAACAAAAGATTATGCGGAAAAAGATATAAAAAGAAACAGTTTTGAGCATAAAAATTACATGCATTCTATGTAAATTATAAAAACTTAATTTTAAATACCATTTTATATAAATAATTTAAAAATATTGAACAAATATTTTTGTAAAAATTTTTTAAACGTTTTAAAAGATTATTCTACAAAATCTTTTTTAGTTTGTTTATTTTTACATATTAAAATTTTCTGAGTATACTTTTTAACACATCCGGTAATCATATAGGTGCAAAATTGACCATAAATTATGACGTTTTTAAAATAATGTCACAACTCATTGCTCACATTTGACATTTTAATCTTATTTCAGTTAAACAAACAGTTCCGCAAACACAACTGATAAACCAATAGAAAAAGTGAACAATAAAAACAAAAACAAAGTTTGTTTTTTGCGTTTTTGCTTTTAGACACTACACCTTTTTAGTCAATCTAATTTTCTCATTTTGGTAACAATGCTCGTAAAACAAAAATACTACGTTTGTGCCGAGTTTAAATTTTTATACTTTTTTGTTAACCATTTTTAGTATTTCTGCTGTAAGATAGTCGAACTGTCACAGCTGAAATTTCAAAAACACTGATGCAAAAATCAATTTGCGAACACTTGGTCAATTTATTAATAGAGTGTTTGTTTGTTTATTTTGATCAATTGATAGTTTTTTAAAACCCTATATTTTGCCTTATAGCTGCACCTGAAATGTTTAATTGAATAAAGTGTTTTAAAACATTTTTTAATTTTGATTTTAGTTTTTCATTGCAAAAAATAAGCACGTTCAAAAGTTTATTTTTTAAGTTTTAACAACAAAAGTTTTGTTTATGTTATAGAAAATTTTTTATAAAAACATTTAATAATAAAAGTTTAAAAAACTTAATTAAATATATAACAGCGCAGGTGATGCCGAGATTTCAAAATGAGCGCACAAAAGTCAATTTGAATAAAAAACAGTGTTTATGTTTGTGTTTGTGAATTTGATTTTTTTAGTCAACACCTGCTTTTTGCGCGTGAGTGAAATTTAAAACATGCTTATAAAAATCTCATTAATTAAGAAAAATACAAACTATTTTAATAAACAAATTTATGCATTCAGTAAACTGTCAGTTTGTTATAAAGTGGACAGTTTCAATGTAAAATGTTTTGCTAACTTCTAAAAAATAATTAATCAAAACTAAAAAATAACTCAATTTGATTTAGACAAAAGTCGCTAACAATAATATTAATTAAATTAGCTTAGTAGTTTTGTTTTGACTACTTATTTTTATTTTTGTTTTAACATTTTGTATAAAATATTTTTTTGTTTTTGACAATATAAAAATAGTTACAATCAATTTTAACAATAAACTGACTTAAGAGAGCGACATTGACACATATAAAAGACAATTGTAAAAATAAACCAAAAAACACATTTTAACATTTTTTCTATTTTAGTTTTTAAAAATAGTTTGTAGTTCAAACTACAAACTAAAAGTACTGTACATAAAATAATCAAATAACAATTAAATACATTTTTGTGTTTAATGATTTTTAAATGCGAAATGTAGCATAAGTAAACCAAAATAAACATTTTTGTATTCATTAAATGGAACCTGCTGCCACCTATTGGACTAACTAAAAACCTAGTGAACGCGCGTGAAAAAACTTGCATACAAAAATGCTTTCATTTAATTTGCCATGACAGCTGGGAGATTTGTGTGCATAAAAAATATGAAATAAAATATCGATGTTCACTTACCTCATCACAAGCTGCGCATCTGGGGCGAATCTTCTCCAGGTAGTGTCGTTCGCAGAAGATTTGCCTATGCAGTGAACAGTAAATGTGGTAGGCCAGTGGCTCCTGACAGGTTCGGCATCGAAAGCAGTCAGGATGGAATGCCTCCACGGGAGAACTGGAGGCGGACCAGTGGAGGGAGGAGGAGGTGGCCCAGGAGGAGGTGGCCGGCGGGGAGGAGGCCAGGGAAGAGGAGGAGATCGAGGAGGAGGTCGTCTGCTGACTAGGTGGATTGCTCGCGTCAGAGAGGGCTCGCTCAAGGTGAACACTACCACCACTGGGCAGGTGATCAGATTTAGTTTGTGATGGTGGTGGTGCCGCAACCTGGGCGACGATGGCAAGAGCGGACTTGCCAATGACCAGACCACACCGAGCACAGGTCTTTTTATGAGCAAAAGTAGCCAAAAGAAGGAGAAAGAGAAAGGAAAAAATGGGCAAACAGAATTGAGTCATTAAGTCTAGTGCTGAAGGGGCGAAAAAGAAGAAAAACCACTGACCAAGTCGTTCTCCGTGACTGGCTCAATGCGTCCGATTTCCAGTGCATGTCGGTTTCGGTCCTCCAGAATGAGCTGGTACAGCTGGTGACATTCCGGCGGCACACTGGAGCAGTAGCTCAGTCCGATGTCCTGTTTTGGGTACTGCTGGTGGAACAGCTGATCCCAGTACTGGGCACCTTCAGAGTCCCGATATGGCACCTGCTCCAGTGGCATGTGCTGCGTGAAGAACTGCTCAATCTGCCAAGTGAATGCCATGCCAAATATGGGCAGATTGCGTCAGTTGAGGAAGGGGACCGGAATACAGAGCAAATAAACAGAGGATCAAAGTTAAATGACAAATGTCAATCAAAAGGGTAATCACAAGCAGCACGTCATTAGGTAAAACGAACCTTTTCTGAAGACAGGCCACACGGGTGCCAAGTGAAGCGGTCATCACCAGTGGCTGGCCACGACGGGACAATGCCAATTTCCGTTAATGACATTATGTAGAAATGAGGCAGCCTTTGGAAGTAGCAGCTTCTCCAACACAAGTCTAGAAGTCGATGACGTCAAAGTATTTGGCGTTATCTACAGGTCAAAATTTGACTAAATACAAAGAAAACAAAAAAATTAGCACAAGGTTAGTTGGCATTTGTCAAAACATTAGCATGTGTTTACTTTTTTTTCAAATTTGTCCCAGTCCCCTAAGCACACAATCAGAAAAAGAATTGCTTACCCATCTCGTTGACAGCTAAATGATTGCATTATTTGCCTTCTTCATTTAAGACACTGGTGCGTTGATAACTTGGTACTGGCACTGGCGTTGGCATGGCGGAGGATCACCACTGATCGCTGGTAAAGGGTAAAAGTCGGTATTGATTTAGTGCGCCGATTAAATGGAGGATCATGTCAGTCTAGCGGTGACTACTACTTGGAGGCGCAGATTACTTTTGACAGAAGAGGATTAATAAATATATGCTTGCCAGTATACTATGTGTGTGTGTGCTTGTCGACAAAATGCTGCTCATCTAAAAATGCTAATCAAGAAGGCTGGAAAAGGATCACAACACGGTGTTTTCTCAGCTGCACTTTCTGGCAGAATGCGTTTACAGTTGCCTGATGACGGTGCAGACTGTGTGTGAGTTAGTGTGTGTTTGTGTGTAAAACAGTGGCGACAGACAGAATTAAAGTGCTAATTACTGGGCAAACAGACACACACACACACACACACACACACTGATGCCGATGTTGTTGCTAATCAGACGAGGGGTTAAAGCCGACTGTTACTACTGTACAGCAGAGTCATTCCGATCGTTCCAGCTTAAATCTCAATCAACTGTAGTCTCGATGGTGAAATAGAAACAGGCAAAACATTAAAATCAAACTGATGATGTACAGCACAGAAAACAGAGAAACAATACAGCGCTGGTGTGTGTGTCGATAAACGTGTGATAATGAGAGATTAAAATGTGCTCTAACAATTAGCGCCTACGTGAGGCGAACAATGAAGAGAGAATAACGATGCTTACTGACTAATTAAACCTATTGGCAATAGCAACAACAAAAGGTGTTAAATTGACATGTTCATTAGCGTTGATGATGATAATCAAGAGTGTGTTGCATCAACAATGACGCGCGCAGACATGCTGAAATAATACTGTCTGGAAAAGTTCTATTTTAATCAAAACATCTATGTAAACAAAAAGAAAATATGACGTTTACATATGAGCTTATTAAAAATATTTATTCTTGGAGTCTTGTTGGCAACAAGACTGACAAAAACACAAAAACTTTCAAATAAAAGTTTGGAAAAAGTTCCAAAACATAGAGTTCGTTTGGAAAATTTTTCTTGAACAAAGAAAAAACGGTAAAGCATTCAATCGCTGATGACGTTGTAGTTGCGATTCATTTTGTTAAGTCTAGTGTTGTTCAGTATCGCCGTGGTACCACAGTGCACACAGTGGCAAACACACACAGTGCTGACGCCGAGTAAAACTCCGTCAAGTGTCAAACTTTTACGGGTGTGTGTGTGTGTGTGTGTGCGTGCGTGTTTGCATCGGCTGTTTCCTCTGCATTATGTTTTCAACAAGCAGACGATGATGTGCGACAGTGTTAACTGCTTTGTCATAAAACGACAAACATTTTTGCTCTGCTTTGCAGTCAAATTAAGGAGCAAACGAAAGGGGTTAATTAGAAAAAACTGGGAACACTGGCACTGAAAATGACCGTCGATGCAGTGTTTGGCCGCTACTGGTGTCAAGTGAGAGCACATCCAATGACAATTGCGTGCAAGCGCGTGTGAGCGCACTGTTGACTCAGTGTCTTCAGTGTTGCAGCCTGTGATGGCTGTTCCGTACACTTTTTCTTTCTTTACTGCCACCACCACCACTACCACCACCGAATTGGTACTTTTGGTGCCACACTAGTAAACTGCAACACAACAGCTGCAACAGCAACCTCAGCATCAGCATCAAAAACTGAACCACTTGACTGTTGCAAATCAGCAGCAGTGCCACTGCCAACAGTGAGGGAAACCGCGAAGGGAGAAAGGGAAACACCAAGAAAGGCACTGAGAGCTACAACAATACAAACAAACAATCACCCACCATCGATGGGTGTGTGTGTGTGCTTGGGTGAAAAGGAGGAAACAGAGGATGTTGCAATACGGCCAATAAAAGTGGCCGATGGAAGATTCTGTTTTTGCCGTGTCGATGCAGAACAGTAGTAGTAGTGGTGGTAGTTGCAGTAGTAAGTCGGTAGCGACAATAGTCTTCGCTTGAATAGACGATTTGTGGGATATTTAAATTTAGAACAGTACCAACAAGAGTGGCGCAGAATAGAAACTTTGGCTGATCGACTGTACACTTTACTTGACTTGGTTCAAATATTTGCTGTTCTGCCGCCTGCTTCACTGGATGGTGATCATTTGGTTGGGTTAAAAATAAAATGCCATTTTGTGTGTGTGTGTGTGTTCGTTTTTGTCTTTTTTGCAAAGAAAAAATGAGTTAAGAAAAGTAAGTTCACCCTGCGTAAGATATGATGTTTGCAAACGTAATGATACGGCGACACTTTAAGCCTACACCAAAAAACTTTGTTTGGCAAATACAAAATGTTCAGTCCTCTTCTTGATAAGTTTGTAGTTGTAGTAAACTGACTGAACTTGCATTTACTTTAAAGTAAAGTAGCTGTTTGCCACACACAAGAGGGCATTCATCTTTCTCATTGTTATTTTTGGCACATGAAAGAAAGAGTGGAAAACGCATTGATGTGTTATTCTAGTAATCAACCGTCACTGAAGAAAGCAACATAAATAACAGCTGTTCTCTGTTCACAAAACCGCTACAAAAAATTTGCTTTGCTTGTGTTGTTGTTGATTAATTGACCAATTAGTGAATGTATTGACGTTAATGATATTTACAGTGGCAAGAGATAAACATCAACTGCACTTTATCAACCGATGAAGACAACACAATGATTGGAAAAGACAAACACGTTGACTGGTAGTAACAAAAACGACAACTGATGTAATGCAGTCATATGCACTTTAGTGGTGAACATAGAAACAGAGAACTGACAAAAATTGGTTTAATATTTTATAATGTACACAGAAAAAATTTTATCGCACAAAGTGAGTCTGGTCAGTTTGTATAAAAATCATTGTGTCAGGTTCTGGTTTATATAATCGGTGCAAGAATTTAGTGGCAAAACAACATTATGACAAAAACTTATTGCAATGCATCTGTTTTATGTAGAAAAACTCACAAAGTAAATGAATAACACAAACGGAAATTGGCAATTGGCGGTTGACCTACCATCAAAGCAAATGACAGCAAATGAAAATTTATTTGATAAGTAATGACAGTCAACCGCAAACTGCATCAAAAACTGAAACTTTCTTTAATACATTTTTTCTCATTACTGGGTTTCCGGAAAAGTGTAATAACACTTGTTTACATAGTCTGCTTTGGCAATAAACAACAATAAACAATACAAAATTATTATTTTTTAGCAGAAGAAAGATGTTCAGAGTGTTAAACACGGTTAATTTGATTGAAATGAAACTATGTTTTTAAACTAAAACTTGCTAGTTTTGTTTTTATATAATGCAAAAGCTGAAACGATTCGTTTGTTTATGGTTACACAAACAGCTAAACATAACTGCACACAATTAGCTTTAAGTTGCCAAAGCGGTTTATTCAGCGGGTTTTTATATCGACAAACAACGGAAACTTTGAATTTGTCAACAGCACTACCACTTGAACTTTGTATCTACAAAAATTGCACTGAATAAAGCAAAATTCCTTTCAAGACAATGACTTAATGTTCAAACAAAGTTTTTGGGTTAGTTTTCAGGCAACTTAAAAACAATGTTATTTCATGTCAATAACCAAGTAATGGCAATTAGCAAAGTTGCTGTAAACAAACAAACACAACAATTGATTGACAAAACAGCAAACAAAAACTTTATGTTTTAGTTAAAAAACTGAAACTGATTAGTTAAACTAGTTTGTCAATTAGCTCAAACTGATAACTTTATCAAAACTAAGCATTT